GGGTAGGTTACCGCATCTGCCGCCTGGCTATGGCTGTGTACACCTCGCGGATGTGATTATGACGTTGTCGAATTCCATTTGAAAATATAACCAACGAGCAGTCCAGCGACATAGAAGCTTCAACACACTACATTGCTGCAAGTACGTGAGGGCATGATGATCCGTGTACTCCGTAGCCCTAGCAGCATGCAATAAATGAGGATAATTACCCGGTGACGAAGGCGAGAACCACTTCGCCGTACGTCGAATACCTCTGCTAAGCCAGTTCATGACCTGAATTACGAAGCCAACTGGCGTGCGATCTTGTTCGAGAACCGCCCCTACATCATAGCGTGATGCGCCGATAAGTCGAATAGCGTCGTGCTACTGAGAACATGTAGGGTCGTAAAGTCGAAGTTTCGCTGTTTGAAGTGCTGCTCAGAGTGTAGTTGAATGCATTCCTGGCACCAGTAGTTTGCGATTGTCATATGGACTCCATAGCGGTACCACTCCAGGTAAGCATTTTGGGAGCATTACGTGATATTCTTTGAGCACCTCCAGTACCTGTGTGGGCACCGTATGCTCTTGTTTGACTGTTCCCGCTCTTCGAACTCTGTGTAGTCGAGGGTGGAGGTTTGCAAAGGAGAATACTTCTCGTTAGCCTTGAATTGTGGGCAGGCCAGAAAAAGGAGTGTGGGACTGGGCGGTACGGGTCTAAATGCGCTGCTTTGCTAACACATACAGTAGTGGCCCATGACGCTCGTCACATACATGAGTGGTAGATAGCTTTTCTACGCGCGGTAAAGCTATAGTATGATCTTCGTTCCCTGTATTTCCCTAGGCAGGTGCTTCAGTAAAGCCATAGTATGATCGTTGTTCCTTGTAGTTCCCTAGGTAGGTGCTTCGTGTTAGCTTAATCGTCGCACGGCGGTTCCCCAATATATTTGTTCTGCGGAAGGCCTTGTAGATTTTAGGGTTGGGACAAAGGAATATAGCCCCATCTGCTGGAGTCATTTGGGGTGTCTTGTGGGCCAGCATGCCATTGTTTGCTCAGCTTGAGCCCACGCGTACTCCTTGCGCTGTTTGTCCTGCTCCTTTGCCACGATCTTTTGTGATTGATCAATCGCACTATTGGCCATTTACGTAGGTTCGTAGTAACACGCTACCTTTTGGTCCGTTAGAAGCTCTAATTCGATTACAAGGTGATAACGTATGGGTCCCATGAGGACATACCTTTCTAGACGGTCACCCCCTGCCAGCCAGTAAGCCCCGCCACCACGCGGACGCTATGTAATTGCTCTACATCGGCGATAGTCAAACGGCAGGCTTTGTGTAGGTGACGTACTCAACTGCGATCGGGCTGCTGAAAGTGCCCAACGCACCCGTTCGTATTCAGTCATTGTGTCACCACAGTGGTGTGGCTTCCAGTCCGTCGCTACCGGTTCACTCATGCTGTTCATCTACCTTGTCCCCCTCTAACTGCTTGCTGACAAAAGTCGAGGTGGCTAACTCCAGCATTGGTGAGCTACGCTCCCCTCTTTTAATATATGCCTCGGACAGCGCTGTAGCGTGTAGGCATATGGCACCGCCTTGCTGTTGCTTCAGGAGCCGTTGTTTCCAGCTTGGAAAGACTTCGGTGGCATTCGGCTCTAGGCCGACTGCACAGAGCAGTCCTCCACCTTCTTGATGGCGGCTCGGAGGTTCGTCTCCTGCAATTCGTGGGCTTTGCTGCTTTCATGCTGCTGTTTCTTGCCCCCTGTCGTGAAACCTATCAGTTTGTGCTTCTTTGGGAAGGATGGAGGGGCAAAATGCCTAGCCTGGTGGCACTCACTTCCGCACGCCTTCCAGCTTTCGCCTGACCTACCAGCCTGCTCCTAATCCCTTGCACTTGGTGTTCATGATATGTCATGCCATTTGTGTTGCCGGCCGGATGGCGGCATATTCTGTCAAACTCGTTTGACCTGGATTCGGTTGACTCTCGTGGGTTTTCCGTCACTGCAGCAGAGCTCTAATTGTTTGCGTCCCCTCCTCAGTATTTTTTGCGTCTTCCAGTAGGTCTTGCACTGCTGCAAACTTAGTGATTGCTTCTGTCCATTCCTTGAATTTGGCGGTGGCCTCTTACTTAAATCCCTACACTGCTCGAGTGGTAGGCAAGCCAAGTGGTACTCCACTCGCTCTGCTGCAGGCATCCCATTCCCTCTTGCAGCGATCTTCACAGAGTCATCCAAGCATTTTCTGCTGTTTCCTTGCCACCTGTTAGTTGCAATATGCTTAATAAAGGCTGCGCAGCTAGTAATGCAAAGTCGTAGGGGAATATCACTTTTTGCACCAAACCCTGTTCTCCGTATGCGCCCTTGTGTTCTTAAAGTAGGCACACTCCATAAGTGCATCACCATCTAAATGCTTTCATTGCTCGCTTCCCCAGTATCACTGGCCCAGGCATACCTTCGTACACTGCGCCTTTCCTGCATTATGAAGGCTTCTCATGGTGCCGCCGCCTTTGTTCGGCAGTGGCAGTGATGCCAGTGCAATCCATCACTTCACCTTCCAATAAAGAAGAAAACCCCGCAGCTGCTCCACCTTCCGCTTCAGCCTGGCAACCTGCCTGGCTGGTCGAATTGTGGTCCACTTGTGAAGAGATGCTGGGTGTCGCTTCCTCAACCCACCTGATTGCAGGGTCTCAGTAAGATCTTGGTGAGCTCTATTTTCTGCTGTCAGGAATCCGCACTGCCCTGCTTGACTATGATCGTGAGCGCTGGGCATTAAGGAAGCTGTCTGATTGTGCGAACCTATCAAGCATCCATTCTGCAGGTGGACAGCTAGTGCACCCCTACACGCTAGATGCTACAGTCCCAGTGGCTCATAAACGTTACATATGCATGTGCTCTGTGCTACTGGGGTGCACAGATATTGTTTCCCAGAACAGACCCCAGAATGTAGAGTTTTAAGCCCAGGTTCGTCCCCAGGTGTCTGCCGCTCTGGCTACGTATGTTCATATGGAACACTATTCGCAAAAAGCAAAATTCAGCATCCAAACCTTATTTCGAGGGATGCATCCCTCTTCCCCACCGCGTGGGCTTGCGGCTTTATTGCGTCTTGCCAGCCTTAAACTTCGGGCCAACCTGGATAGCTCAGTGGGCGTTATCGCCCAAGGATGCTCCTGTGTTTCTTATTTGTATTTAGTATGCTAATCTACATCTTCGGAATTATTCGACTCAAGGGACCATTTCTGGGGCTTCTTTGTAGTTTTGCTTGCTACAGCTCTTCCTTGCAGTGTACCGAACCCTGGATCGGCCCTACTTATTAGGGCTATGAAATGTTAGTTGAAAAAGCCAAAAATTTAGCGAAGGAGAGCGAAAGGGAAGAATAGTATAAGTGAGCGTTTGCCTCAGTGGCAGAGCTCACAGCTTGCACAATCCTCATTAGCTGCAGCGAGGCTGCTAGCAGCCAGTCCTGAACTTCGCTACAGCGCTATTAGCTCCTAGCTACCCTCAATGCTCTTGCCGTTTGCAGTTTTAACGCATGAACATTGCCAAGAGTGCCCGCCCAGATTCTGTGGCGTCTCAAAGCCATTTCTGTTCCAGTTCTAGTGTTCGGCACTGTCCTATGGGCCATGCTATGCACCATCGGGACGCATTTCCTCCAATATGGCTCTATTGAGTCATATTAATCCATGGAATGTTTTGGAAAAGCACGGTACACTCAAAGTTGCTAAGCCTCTGGCAGTTCATGCTTCCATGCTAAGTGCATCACCGTTCAAGCAGCCTAGAGCAGCGCACTTGACACAAACCATCACTCCATTCCTACTTTATAGCTTCATACTCTTGGGTCCTCACATAACTCATTGCCCTTGCACAGCCGGCTGCTTAATAGCTAAATTCAGTTGGACTGATTATAGCTCTAGTGACCTGTGCCCAGCGTGCCTCCTATGCGGGAATCCAGATCGGCTACATAGCTGCGCACACTAAGCGTCAAGATGCACAATTAAGCCCTAAAAAAGCACTGTTGATATTATTGTTTCTTTTTTGCTCCTCCATGAAGCCCTTTCGTGTCTCTTGGTGTGCTTGCCACCGCTGGCCGCACCTGTGGCACAGCCAGCCCCAAAACGTGGCCTAGCTCTGGAGGACCCTCAGCCTAGTCCCCGACAAGAGTCACGCTGTTTAGACTGGAACAGTTCTGATTGGGCTTAAAATCTATAACACTAGATATCACAACCTCCGGAGGTCGTTCCTATGCAGCATTGTAGTGCTGCGCACTGCAGTAGTAAGTTAAGATCCTGCCCCTTGGCCTCTGCGTAAAATTGCGCAACTTTCCGCTTAAAGGCAAAACAACGTATCTTCATACTATGAGAAAAACCGTTATTGCACATTGTGCGATCCCACGGTAGTGGCTGTGGGTGGGACTGGCCACATCCTACACCAGCAGCAGACTGTCAACTTCTTAGCGACGGGCTCATAGGAAGGCAGGCGCTATAGAATAGTTTGTTTTCAGGCCCACATTCAGAGCTAGAGTGATTTTGGGTATTCGGTGAGATACCACAGGCTCATAACTGGCTCCATGAGGGCTCTCTGCGGTTAAAGGGAGGAGCCGGCTGATCCCACAATGTATCTCGGTATTCAAAGGGCATACGGTTTCGGACGCTGACAACCCTATTCCCAAAGATAAAATTTATACAGAACTGGCAAGCAGGCACGCGTCTGCGTTCATCAGCACTCACGCGATGGTGCACACTGGCTGTTATCTGCCTGGGGACGCTCTCTGATCGATCGTCTGCGGTCCTGTCACTGGACCAACAGCATAGCCCTTTCCACTAACTCCCCTCATTGTCTCTGTATGTCAAAAAATTATTATATATCTTGCGTTTCAGGGGCAACACCTGGCATGGGGTGGCTTTTAGATACTGTTTAGCTCTCTGGGAAGCCAGGAGCCGCTCGCGCCTTCCTCAGTGGCGCAGTGTTACGGGAGCTGAGGGAGCTTCCCTGGAAGCGGTTTTGGGCTGAACATCTTATCACCACAAAAAAATGCGGAAAGAGGCACTTGGTGATAATCAGGGATTTCACATGATCGCAGTGGATGAAGGCGACATTCGTAGTACCCCCAAATGCGGGGAACGGTCGCCATGTGAAGGCTTTGGTTCTGAAGAGAAAACAGCGCTTCCAGGCGATTTATTGTCAAGGTCACAGAGTATAGGGTTGTCCTCCAGGGGTGCAGTTAATATGTCGTTCGCGCTTTTTGCAAGCTTTCTGTTAGCAGGTGTCCTAGTTGGGGCGTTTGGGGGTGCTCTCTTTTATGGCAAATGGATTCAGCGAAATCAACATCCCAGTAAAGAAGCAATCGAGCAATCTAACAAGTCTGCTCTTTACGAGCACATACGTTCGGGTACAAGTGCTTCTCCAGCCGAGGAAGCCTCACTTATCGGTGTCCAAGGTCCCAATGCAAACGCTGCCTTTTCTGAGGCCTTCTTACCATTTGGAGTTCCGTCTTGGAAGGGAAAGCAAGAACCAAGTTTCTTTACTGAACATGTTCCAGCAGAAGGTGAGATGCTGAGGCAGGAGAACCAGACGGAAGACGATAGTGCTAGAGGGGATAAGGCATCCGAAGTTCGCGAGAAGAGGCTTGCAGAATTGAGATCTCTTACTTCGGCGATGAAGGCACTCGATTTGGCATGGAGTTCGTCATCTAGAGCTGTGCAGGCGGCATTTAAGAAAAACTACATGCCAAATTCTGGAGATGCTGTGGCGGATCCCTTCCTGTGCTTGCAGCAGCATGCACACTTGGCAGAAAAGGCTCTAGACATCCAGGATTTCACCAGTGACCCTAACGAGGATGCCGTGATGGATGCATTCCTAGTTCGAACTGTACTGGAGGCATCCTTAAGGCGCCTTTGGCTCCTCAATGAAATTGAGAAGCTGTGCAACACTTGGGGTATCGGCTCACAGCTTCTTGGCAGAGAACCGGCTCCCCTGCCTCGGCTACATATTCTTAGACGTGCTAAGGACCAAGTCACCTTTGAAGACTTTACGGCAATGATGACAGGGTTTTCCTTTCGTGTCCCCAGCAAAGCGCTTGAAGACGCAGGGACAGTCCCTAGAGTTCTTGCAGAAAGACTGGCTGCCTCTGTCAAAGCAGAGACGTTGCAGCTAGAAAACGATCGACTGGTTCACTCTGGTTTTCAGAGATTCGCCCTGTCTTTGCCAAGTGACTCGATAATCAAGCATCCCAATAGCAAAGAGTTTTCAGTTTCAGTGTTCTTGAAGTTCCTCGGCAGGGCAACTATGGACAGAGAAGCAAACACTCTTACCCCCCAGGTTCTTGGTTCTTGGGTTAACGACTGGAATGTTGACGGTGTCCTTTCTCGACTCGCCCTCAATGTTGAGGAAGCCGGAGAAGTCCTTCAACTGAGGCCAGCCAACCACCTGGAAGATTCAGCGCAGGACATACTAGCTGTTGCAGTTGCCCTTATTTAGCCCCAACGGCAATGTGGCGTGTCACGTTCATGCTAGCTGTTAGCTACGCCAATGTGCTCCAGCTATTCTTCAGGCGGATTAAGCTTGCAAGTTTTCCAAGGCTAGGACTATTTTGGAAAGGCTTGCCGTTCAATTGGTCCGTCAAACAGTTCAGCTTCTCATCTTCAATTTCCTGCCTAGCTGCAGCGGCATCAACGCGCGGCGACTTCCCATCATATGGAAACGGTCACAATACGGACTTGTTCTTTGGAAGCATTTGGTGATGGTTAGGGTGACTGGTGGCACATTTACGCCAACATTCTTGAAGAGGGAAGCCTGCTATGCTCTGTGTTTGTACAGGAGTACTACAACACGTGAGGGTCCGCAGCAGATGCCTTTAGCGCTGCATCTCTTTCTGTTTTCAGCGGCCAGCTACTATAGCTGAGCATTTTTTTAAAACAAATATATGCGCAGTGTGTTATGCGGGGTCGCTGCGTGCACGCTTCAAAACTTGCATGCATAGCACGCTGCGCTTATATTTGTGGTCTTTCAATAAGTAGTGTCCACTTCGAAGTACTTGCCCGTTCTCTCGGAACGCAGCCAAGAAACTGAAGGTTTTGGGCTCTCCTCTTTCACTTGCGCATTGACTATCTGGTCAAAACCCGAAAATGGCATTTCTGGCTTTCGAATGGCGGCTAAAGGGTTCAATGTTCCTGGAAAGTGGTTGTTCACAAACCATTCTACATTCTAACCATTTTTTGGGCCTTCTACGGAGCCAAGGTAATACGGATTTATCCCTGCTTCTTTACCTTCTGCAGGGAGCACACTGCGTCACTTAAGTTGAATTGAGTTTGGGCGCAGCATTAGTGTCTTCGAGACAATACAACCTAGCCTCCGGTTAAGCAGGAGGTACAAGCTGCTTGTTTCATCCTGTCGTCGGTCTTCCACCCAGCGCCGGAAGTGCACCGGAGGTTGCAGTGGTATGCTATTGTCCGCAGGTAATGCTCTACTGTTATTACTTGTAGGTAAGGTTCGCAGAGATGTGCTATATCCTTGGGGCAACAACCTTTTTTTTAGGCCTACGTGAGTTGCCGCATCATAAGCATGCAAGAGCTGCTCATTCAGTTAGCCACAAAAGCAATATGCGAGGGTAGTGTTGGAAGCGACGACACGGCTGTGAGCTCCCTCCTGGCTTGGCCTGTCCAAACGAACAGCCCAAGCTCTCGACCTTGTAAAAAGCAGCATCCGCCAGTTTTTAGCTTGCAGTATCCACGGAGAAGTTAAGCTCTCTTGTTCTGCGGCTGGATCACGGGGCGTGGCCTCCATTATCAGCGACGCTTCTGGAGGCTCGACTCTGGCTGCGAAAAATCAGATAGTTTTGGTGGAGCTGCCCAACAAAACGGCATTGTCGTGAGACCATTAAAATATCAAGCGAACCTGAAGCATGCACTGACGTTTCTTGCCTTCTCTAACTGCACTAGTGCCCGCACGTTTGGACCGTGGTCAAAATTTGTAGATACCAATGTTTCAAAATTTCTCCACCTTCGTTTTCTCAAGTAGTGACTCCAATTCCAATTAAGCCAACTTCTGTCCAGTAGCAAAAGCAGTCTGGAAACGTAGCAGTTCAACGAAGCTCAGGGACAAAGAACGTATACATTTTAGGGCCAGACAGAGTCCGCCACACAACCCAAGTTCTGCGTGAAGGGGTCGTTCGAACGACCAGTTTGTGCCAAGTAATACAAGTTCGGTTTCTAGTGGCCATTGAGACGGCCATGGCCTTCCTTCCGCACTGGCATTGGAACTGCTCATAATGTCACATCTAGCCCTCTCTGTGGAGGAGTATAAATTCGAGAACTCTTAGGGCTTGAAGAGTCCTTTTTGTTTCATAAGGGAAACAAAAGGAGGCACCTACACTCTGCCTGTGTACGTCGTTGCAGCCAGAGAAATTCTGGGTTGTTGGTGCAATATCCGGTAACCACTCATGCCTTGACTGCTTCCAAAATTATGTATATTCTCATTGTATAATCTCATCTGAATCCACCCAGCGTCACAGCTACGGATTTCTCAATGGTAGGGCATCTACGAGCTTCGACGGACACAGACATCGAAATGTGCTCAGCCAGGGATGGCAAAAGAAGTAGTCGTTCATTGAGGAGCTCAGTCTGAACCAATTCATGAAAATATATTAAATTAGGGAACTCAAGGCACTGAAGCAGCAAACAACTGGTTCTGGCGTGTTGGAATAGACCTTTAGTGACCCAGGACAATTGAGCCTGCCAACGGGCGCTGGAAAACTCGGCAGTCTAAGTGTAATCTTTAATGCGTTGAGTTTTGCCTACGCAGCTTCGTGAACTGCGTTTCAATCCCTTAAAGCTCCAGCGCTCGACCATCTTCAATTTTCGGTGGCCGCCGGTCGTACATGGCCTTTTGTGAGACTGATTTCATCCATAGTGGGTTCTCCAAGACATTGTGTTCACTCATTTTGTGCTAAGCAAGGCTTACGGAGTCGGGTCTTCCTCTACTCTTTAGCACTTGCGGACTGGGTCAAATGCGTGGGAGACTCAACGACCACCTGGCGCACACAAGAGCACACAAGAGGTGAAGTGGCTTCAACCATCCAGAACATTACAGCCAATTACACAAAATATCATTCCAAATAACTATACTTTCATATTTGAGGCGATTCAGCTGCAGGGAACAGTTCCAGTGAAACAGCGGTAGCTTCGGTAGAGTGTGAAGCTGCATAGTTGGGCAGGAGCAGCGTCCCGATCTGCATTGATTCACTACTTCTTCGATGCGCATTTTCTCATATTTGTAGTTCTGAGGTTCCTTTAACTTTGCTGAGCATTTTCTTAGGACAGCATGCGTTCTAAAGGAGCCACGAGACAGCCGCTCCTCGAGTCTCGATTTCCACAATTTTTAAGTCCTTCGTCCACTCTTTAAGTTATTGAACACCGAATTCTCCAGAGTTGTGCCTCTAGTTTGCTTTGGAGCTCTGGGCAACGATATTGCCTGTCCGCAGAACCGGACTGGTATTGGGCGTGTACCCTTTGGACTGACGCAAGCTCATCTCGGGCTCCGGGGGTTAACCCCTGGCCTAGCGCAGCAGCAGCTGCACGAGCAGCAGACTCACATTGAGAGAAGGGCCATCATGGTTGTCCGCACGTTGGCAGACCTCCGCAAGGAGGATGAGCAGCGCAACAGAGATGCGGAAACTGGTGAGGCGTTACCTCTTATACGAGGTGAGCCATCTGGGACAGCCTTTGACTTGCTGGTTCGGCGTCTCAATACGTATATTATTTAAAGCAGCAGCGTGAGCTGCTATCGACTGACGAAGTGTTGCAGCAGCGTATTAGCTCTGTTGTGGGACCCTACTTTGGAGTCATTTCACTGCATGGCACCGGTTGTAATCACTGTTTCCCGTTGCTTTATTTGTCTTTTGTCTGGCCGCAGCTGAAACGCGGAGCACAGACAGTAGCGTCTCCAGTGGGGGTTCTGCCTCTGTTAGCAGGACGACAGCCTTGAGGGTGCTGGACTTGCTTTTTCCCTACTTCAGGCTGCGATCTTTGCTGCTTCTCATCTCTGTAGCAGATTGGGTTGTTTTTATTACAACGCTTGCCCTAGACTCGGAGATGCCTCTCGTTCCATCTAGTGAGCTTCCTAGTCGCAGCACGCTTCCATAGCATTCTCTAGTAGATGCTCAGTTGCTGCGTGTTCGCTGTCTTGCTGCTATTTCGCCATGATCTGTGAAGGTCCGTTAGCTTAAGAGATCCACCGATAGCTGATCGTTCATCCCTGCGTATTTTTCATTTCGCTTCTTCCTTCCGCATCTTACATCTCATCTGACAGTGTGTCACTACGTGGTAATACTGGCGCGTGTGTCTTGTCACACTTGTGTGCTTCGGTCTGCAGTTGGAATCTTGGTCACTTTTGGCGCCAATGTCCCCCCTTTGGTGGCCAAGGGCCAGGTTTGGAGGCTGCTGACAGCTTCTTTTCTGCATGCTAATTTGTTACACGTGGCCTTCAATGTCTTTTTCCAGTTGCGAATGGGATTTGGCATTGAGCGACGGTATGGCTATTTGAAGTTCGCTCTGCTCTACGCGGCGGCGGCTATTTATGGCAACTTGCTCTCAGCGGCAGCACTTTTTTGCGGTACAGTGAAGGTTGGTGCTAGCACAGCAGGCAAGTTTTTACCTGTCTTGCCATATGGCATGTATTCATGAAGCAGCCTGACCAATCGATAAGGTTAGCTAGACAGTTGGAGAAGGCGAAAATGCGTACAGTCTGCCTACACTCGATGCTCGGTGCCGTCCTTTAAAATGCACGAAAACGCGCTTGACTGTACCTCCATTTGTGATGGTCCGCTCTCAATATATGTGATCTTGAAGTGGAGAGATTCTCTGGATGCGTATATGTTAATGTTGTGCATTACGTGTACAAGCTGTTGCCCCAAGCCTGATCAGCTCAGCGCGCCTGCAAATCTGGAAACTGTAGCCATATACAGTCCGCTTTAGTGTTGTAGCGCCCACCAGCCAGCCGTATCAGGCGTCTCAGGGAACGCCGTGGCTGGCTGTTAGTAGCCCTTCTGTCTCATTGTTCACCGCTAGTCATCTACCACCATTTAGGGACGCCGTACAGTTTACTATAGCTAGCGGAGAAGGTGGATGCAGCAGAGCAGTGAATAAGTAGAGAAAACGGTCGTGGACACCTAGAAAAGAGTAGGCTTTTTTTTTAACTTGCCGTCAATGGTGGGACGGAACAAAAGGAAGAAGTAGCAATTCCTGGATGGCCACCGAACACGTGTTTCCTGTGTAGAAACGATGGCATTCATTCCAGATGCCGAGTGCTGAGTGTCTTGAATAATTGCGTTCGGGCTTGTTCAGAGTTCGATTTTCTGTGCGCCGTCAAACTTCTTTGTTTCCTGTATCGTAGGGTTTGGGATGATGGGGGTGGAGATGGCCGAACTGGCACTGAGCTGGCGGCGACTGCAGCATCGGGACCGTTTGTTGACAAACATTATC